AAATTGTTGTTGAAGAAGTAACAGACAGAATACCAAAAAAAAAAGTTCCGAAGGCCGATCGCCAGAAGAATAATAAGGATGAGGAGACCAACTGTAGAAAGAGTCAGCTTCGAAGACATCGACTCTCAAGAATTAGAACAATATACTTTTAGCAAGTTGATGTTATTTTTTAGTTGCATTTAATATTCTGATCCTTTTTTATACATCTAAAATCCAATGTCACTTTTAGTACCAGGGGGATTGGTTGTAACTAGCAAAAATTAACATTGGAGTAATGAGTGTACCAAAACAAGAAGATGGGGATGTTGAATATATCTGAAAAATAAAATTTGGGTGTCGGATAAACAACTAGCGTAAGTTGTGATGTGTATTTGGAGCTGATCAGTTTTATTTCTTTTATCATTGCTATTACTACTTTCGAACTGGATAGGATTTTCGGGTTAGAAATTTTTGTTTTTAAATATTACTCCCTCCGTCCCATATTATAAGCAACATTAGAGTTCATCACGTAAATCAAAATGTTAGTTAAAATTAATTAAAGACAATAAATGTTTAAAAATTAGAAGTTCTTTCACTAAAATGCCTTTATTTATGGGGGAGAGAGAGAATAAGAAAATTATTATAATAAAGAGAATTATGGAAGAGAGAGAATGTGTGATGGAGAGATGATGGTTTAGGAAATGAGATAATAAATATATTGAGTGTTAAAATAAGTAATTAATAAAGGCAAACTAGAGAATTCATTATAAAAATTTAAAACAACTTGTAAATATTATTTATATCTAAGGATATGAGGGAGATGGTAGTTGTTGCTTATAATACAGGATGAAGAGAGTATAAAAGAATAAATCTACATGTACATTATATATATATGTGTGTGAGCGCGCGCGCGTGTTTATACTTGTCAATGTCAATGGAAAGTTACGTAAGTGAAAGGGATAAGTTCTCAAGCTCGTTACATACTTTTTTATACAAAATTTTTTGGCAGGGGTTTGGGTTCAACCCAAGCCAAACTTCTAGGTGATACTATTATTGGGCACGGCAAACCTATATTATACTCTCAGATGTTAATCTAGACACTCCCATTCTAAGATGCCTTCATCAGGCATTTACATATTTATATGCATGTGTGTTTAATTATATAAAATTAAAATATACTTTTTTAGCCGTCCAAAGAAATACTCTTCTAGTCCTTAATATAAGACCTATTTAACTAATTTGATTAGATTAAAAAAGTTAGGTATTTTAGTTAATTATAAGAAATATGATATATTTTTTCTAAAATACCATAATCATCTTTCTAATATCATCCCTCCCTCATAGAGATAATTTAGAAAAAATTGATAAATATGATAAATAACTCTTATATTTAAGATCAAAATCAACTCAATAATTATATCTCATATTAAGGACCGGAGGAGTATATGTTCATACTTTTTGATTTTGGACGTATCTTTGCTGACAGGTTGGTGGGTATAACTAGTTTGAAGTTAGTTTAACTATTTTTTTTCATTTAACATTCAGTATCTTCAGTATAGAATGCTTGTGAGTATATACTGTTGAAACAATACTTGAGAGTATTGAACGAAACTTAACCGATGATTAAATTGCATATATATATATATATATCTGTGTGTGTATCTCTCCCATATTTACATTATTCATTCAAAGCACGTGCCGGAACTTACGCCTGCTTACTTCATGAATCAACCAAACGATGAGGGCCACAGGATTCCATGGATGATCTCCAAGAAGAAACACCCTGGCATGAGCACTAGAACAGATTCCCTCATAAATAATTTACCATCAACGTACTATATTGTTTTTTATTTATTATAGTATAGATAGTTATTTTTTTTAAAAAGATGTATATATTAAATAGGGATAAACTTGAAAAGTTACTATATTTTAATGAATAATTAATGCAGTTTACAGTTTTTCTTGGTCTGTATAAAACATGTTAAAAATATCTTATAAATAAGACCAGAAGAGTATACTTTTTTTTGTTATTTTCGCATCATGTTATCGTCTTGATTCTCTCGCCAATTTATAGTTGAACGTGCGTGTCTTATGTAAAATTACAAACCGAGTCGAGTCCTATTATTTTAATTTTTGTTTCTTTAATTTGCCGGACCCTCTTTCTTTCTTTTTGGACAATATGGTTTCACAAATTCACGTACAATGTCAAGTAATGCCTCCTCTATTTTTTTTTAATAAGAAAGAATCTCTCTTATGATGATTTTTAAGTAATAAATTTTTTGTCTGAAATTTTAAATTAATATTTTCATTTTACCCCCATTAAATATATATATACACTTTACTATTATCCCTCTGCAATAAATTACTCTTATTTATGTTTATTATCTCTTCATAATAAATATTAACTCATGAGTGTCTCTGATCTCCTTTACTCTCTTCATAAGTAAGGGAAAAAATTACTGTACACATCTTGCATATTTATTGTTTTTAATTAAATTTAATTAATATTTCGAATCATACGATTTTGATAATTATTTGTTATAAAAGGAAACGGAATGAGTAATAAGATAAGTAATCAATAAAGCCCAGCATACAACAGGCAGATGGCTAGGTCCTTCAACGCCCTTGTTTGCTTTATTTTGTCTTACACCAGGAAAAGAATAATTTGGCCAGGAGTGCAGAAGGGAAGCTATACACACACACATATTCCGTTACTATTTATAAGTCATTTGTAGGAAAAAAAATTATTTTATAAATATAAGTAAGTTCCAGAGTAATTAATAAATTTTTTTTAATTTTATCCCTGTTGACTTTATAAATGTAGAGAGAAATATAAAACATAAGAATAATTATAATAAGATTCAAAGAAAAGAAAATAAATACTAAAAAGTTCCAATGACAAGTTAAAAGTTGTCATTCCGAACTTATTATTATAAGTTACTCGGTTGTCATTAAATTTTTTTAGTAATTATATTTTTTAATTGAGACTTCATTGCAATTCTTTCTAAAACATGTTGTTAATACCCTTTCTTTAATAAGGGCAAATTTTTTTAAAAAATTACCAACTCAATTAAATAGAAGGTTGTTCCATTCAAGTTAATTGTCTAATGCGTCTTATATAATTTACAGATAAATCTGTCTGTGAAATTAAAAATAAAATAAAAAAAGAAGAAAATCAAATCCGAAACGTGAAACACGAAAAAAGAAATTAAGGGATGATGATTCATGAAGAAGAAACTAATTGTCTTTCCCTTTCTCTGTTTTTTTTTTAATAAGAGAGGACTTATTTTTTTCCCACTTGTTGGCTTGTCTTCAATGGACGATGCGATATAAGTGAAGAACATGGATGGATTACATTCCAAGCGAAACAGACAAAAAGAAAAGTAGTAAGCGTCTGATTCGTTTGGAATTTCTGTTAATCAAAATGGCACAATTAAAATTCAAATACAAATCAGCTAATTCTGCTTTCCTTTGGCTTTCAATTCCCTCATATATACACGAAAGTTTATAAGTAATATGTAAGGATTATATATTTCTAATACATATTTTCATATGCAATTGTACATTGGCCATTAGAATAGAAGATCAGGAAATATCACCAAATTTTATATAATTATCTTTTTGTTTTAATATAGCTGATCATTTGATCAAAGTATAATAATAATATGGTGTGTATTATGCACACACTTTATTTTTATTTAATCATATCACAAATTTCCACGAAAAATGATTAAAAAAATACTAGTTGAATTTCAAAATGATAAATAGGTAATTTTAATATATTTTAACTTGTCAAAACTATTATAAAAATAGTCAGCATAACTTATTTATTTCTTTGAAATTCAATAGATTTTTTTTGTTGTTTTCTCATTATTTTGTCGTCTTAATTCTCTCGTTAATTTGTAGTTGAGCACACGTGTCTTATGTAAAATTACAAACTGAGTCGAGTCCTATTATTATTTATGATATATATATAAATAATATGATATTGCTATTTTCTAAATGAGTAATATTTCATGTAGAAGGTCAACATTTTAATTTCTGTTTCTTTAATTTGCCGGACCCGGCCTCTTTTTTTCTTTTTGGATAATAGGACCCAACCTCTTGGACTAAAATTTTAAACTAATCTTTTCATTTTACAAATGCACGTGGTTTAAAGGTAATAAATTTTTTTGTCTAAAATTTTAAACTAATCTTTTCATTTTACCCTCATTAATTTTATATATATATAGATATACACACTTCACTTATTATTAATGTGCAATAAATTATTCTTATTTATACTAAATATTTACTCATTATCTCTCTTTTACTTTTTTCATAAGTAAGGGAAAAAATTACTTACATATTTGTCACTTTTAATTAAATTTAACTAATATTTTGAGTAGTATGAGTTTGATAGTTAATCCTCATGAAAAGAAACGGAATGAGTAACGAGAGCTAATCAATAAAGTCCAGCATAAGACAGATAAATGGCGGGGTCCTTTAACTCCCTTGTTTGCTTTATTCTGTCTCACACCAAGAAAAGAATAATTTGGCCAGAAGTGTAGAAAGGAAGCAGACTTGCTTGGAGCGACAAGAAGTAAGGAAGCTACATATCAACGCACACGTGTTACTCTGTTACTATTTATAGAGAGAGGTAAGATAAATTGATGACAGAAATGTAAAAACAATTACAATAAGGTCCTTAAAAAATAAAATAAACACAAAAAAATTTCAATAAAAAATTAGAAGTTGCCGCTCCTTACTATAGGACTTATTATTATTACAGACTACTTAAATTGTCATAGAATTTTTTAGTAATTATATTTCTTTCTTGAGACTTTATTGCAATGCTTCCTAAAACATATTGCAATTTAATATATTTTTGGTATAAATGAGTTACAAATAGGAGCAGACTGGTATATAAGAAACAGCAATAGCAGCGTGTGTGTTATATGGAGCCAGTGTATAGATCTCTTTTGTAGAGATCCCGTTGAAGTGTGCGTGTGTGTCTGTCTGTCTATGCACATCGGAGAGAGATGAATTTGGATGGGGACGTTATTGGGGCAATTGAGGAACTGCGTCGCGGGGTAATGAGGCGAGATTGGGGGGCTGTGCTGCGCACAATGAGGGGCCAGCCGCCATATGCAGAGCTGTGGCTGGCCAAGATGAACAAGTGGGCTGACACTGTGCTGCACGCAGCTATCATTTATGGGACACGACCCCGCACCTTCGATGAGCTGTTTGAAGAAATGCCCCGACGTGAAGAAGACGTCGTGGAGATTCTGTCAGCCAGGAATCAGTGGGGCAACACTCCTCTTCACTGCGCCGCATATAGAGGCTCTCCCTTGTTGTGTCGCCGCATCCTTCATGCCCTCCCCACCGATGAACAGAGAACCCGGGCCGTAATTAATTTAATCTCTTTTATTGATTACATGATGCACATGCATCTGCATGATGAGATTGGATCTTAATTATTCTGTTTTTAATTAAAAACATGCATGCTTCGTGATTCTATTTTTTTTAAAAAAATATTTTTTGACTATATTAATGGTCTCAACTATTATATATGTATATATTAAATTTGAATATGTATAAAGCAAAATAGTGGTTAGAATATTTCACTCTAACTATTAACATGGCGGAGTGTAACTGGCATAGAGAGGGGCAAGGGGCATCCATCTCTAGTGCTTCAACTTTTCAAATGTTTTTTTCCCTATTCATTATTAGAGTTTACAAAAAGTAGGTGACATTCTGATATCTAATTTTGCAGCTTTGAATTCTTCACAATTTCTATATATAAAAATATATGTATTAACTGTGCAGTTTTAGATATTTAAAAAAAAAAGCATTCAAAAATTTAGGTTCACACAATTTTTGGTTCTTCAAGTTTGTTTTTATTTTGCTTTAGATCGCTCAAGTTTCTTTTTATTTAAAATATTAGTCCTTATAATTCAATAAAAACTTAAACCATCTTGCCCATTAAATGACCAAAACCTATAGTTTGAAACTTGAGAAACCAAAACTAACATGAGAACACACTTGAGTTACCAAATATCATATTAGCCCGAAAAATTTAAACTCGCATTACTTCATAGTATATATTGAGACGTCACTTGTTTTATGTAAAATTTAAAGCTTATTATTGATGATGATGATATCGAATGTTGATTATTAAGCTTCTGGTGCGTAACAACGAGGGAGAGACGCCTTTGTTCTTGGCTGCTGTTCATGGTCACCCGGCGGCCTTCCTCCTTCTCTATGGCTATGCAGAACCTGCGCATGCCACAGCTCCTTACGTGAAGCCCAATGGGGGATCTGCACTTCACTTAACCATTCAGCGAAAGAATTTCGGTATGTGATTTTACTTATTTGAAAAATAAGTTACTTAATTAGGTCTTCTACTCTCTTCACTTTAAAATGCACTTTTTTAGAATTTTTTTTAATCCATGGTATAAATTATTTTGAGAATAATGAATACCTATTTGCTAATTTTATCCCTTTAATTAATGGTTAAATATGAATCCTCATATTTTTCTCTCTTTCTTTCAAATCCTTAATATGGGTTGGGGGGTGGGAATTTCAATTGAAGACGGGTTTAATTACAAGTTATTTTTTCTTCCATAGTTCTAATGATGATGATATGGTTAAAAATGATTAATATATTTTGGACTAGAGGTATTGTTTGTTTAGGATCGAATGGAATGGAATAATACGTTATTCAAAATTACATTCTATGATGGTTTAGTTCGTTAATGGAATCCTTTGCTTGATAAATAGTACTGAAGTATATACTACTTCTAATTTTTAACATAAGAATTAGTTAAAAAATTAATTGAGTCATAAATATAAGACCCAAATTATTTTTTTAAAATATTTATCTATTTTGCCTTTGAGTGATTTTTATGGTGATTGCGCATGTTGAGGAGTTACTATAGTAATTCAAGTACACTTGATTAATAAGATTGTGCCAAGAAAAATAACATATATTTATTTCAAATGACTAATTTTACTAATTTTCTTAATATTCATAAATTAGTTAGTTATCTAGCTTTTTATATAGTAATATAGTATCTTTAATCCTAAATATAAGAGCTCATTGACTAATTTGAGTAGATTAAAAAAATAAGTTAAGTTAGTTATTTATAATAAGTAGGTGTTGTCTTTCCTAAAATATTCTTACTAATTAAGTGTATTAGCTAAAACTGTCATTATTAGAAGGACTACTAAAAAAAATACATAAATATGAGAGATAAAGTAGATTGAAGTCTTATATTTAGAATCAAAATAAAAATCAAGTTAGATCTTATATTAAGAACAAGAGGCAGTAATTGAATTGAATTCATCGTTAATGCAGAATTATCATTGCTATTAATGCGTCTCCTTCCCGACATGATTTCCATCATCGATGAAAAAGGGCAGGCACCTCTGGACATCCTGGCCTCTATTCCTTCGGCATTTAAGAGTAGCACTCCCCTTCGTTGGTGGGAGAGCCTTTTTTACCCATGTAAGTGCGCCCACCTCCATCAATCCATCTAGAATTTTATTTAACTTTTTTATTTAGTTTTATTCTTATTAATTAATTACTATCTTTAACTTTTAATATAAGAGTTACTAAACTAATTAATAAATTAAAAAATTATTTAAGTTAATTATTTGTAACAAATATGAGTTTATTTTTTTAAAGTATTCTTTTTAATATAATCATGACTATCTTTAACTGAAATTTTTTTGCTATGCGTAATTAATATATGTATTTTAAAAAGTAAATTACAAAGTAAAAAAAAAAAGTGAATTAAAGTTAGGATTCCTTGGGTCATAATTTTCCACCCCACCTTCTCTCCTCATGCGAAGTCATGTCTGATGCGGCCGCTCATTCAGCTTTTGTTCCCCCCCCCCCCCCCATGGCCAAGTTGGATACAGCAATGGATGACAAGGATAAAATTTCTAAAAGGAGTTTTTAATTTTTTGAGTGGAAAAATTTATAAAGGGAATCAATGTTAACATTTTGAAGGCAGTTAAATATTTAGAAACTGAGTCGTACTCAACATAATTACATCACTGGTCATGACTGACTTAAAAGTTAAAGCAGCCAACAAGATTAATTTTTCTTAATTAAAATGATGTTGCTGACGTAATGATCATACTCCTATTTCCGAAGTCATCCCGATTTGGCCCCCAGATTTTGCTGGACAACCTGATCAGCCTCCCACCCATGAAGCTCCTTTCGGATTCTCCTTTTTAAGAAGTACCACAGGTAATTAATTATTAATTTTAATGCTTAATTAGATCTTTTCATTTGCCAATATTCGACTCCTTATTATAAGTTGCTTATAGAAGAAATATTTTTAGTTCGAAACATAAGTACATTTGGAGGGTTATTACTTATTAATAATTATTTTTTCAATCTTACTCTTATTTAATTATCATTGGAAAGAAAAGAAAGAAAGAAGATTCAGAGTTAAAAATTATTTATACATACAGGGAAAGAATTTTAATAAGAATAAGCTTGGAAAAAAAATTATCAATTTGAGGCATATTTAGTTATAATTTAACTATACGTGAAAATTAGTCAAAAATTATTTACATATGGAAGTAGGAGGACTTGTCTGGAATTATGATCATAAGCACTTTTAATCACGTCCGTTTTATGTAAGTCAAAACAAAACTCCTCACACATATGCACCTTGTATTTTATAAATCACAACTAAAAAATGACTCAAAAGCTTAACATGTCTGTCCGTGGTTGGCAGAGAAGAAAAGGAGACATGTATTTGGTGGGCGGATCATGGAACAACTGGTAGACAATGACGCTTTTTGTGATGATTTGATGGAGATGGAGTTGTTGGGGAGGGATGACGATCATCCGGCGAACTTACTAATGCTAGGTCCTTCATATCAAGGTGCTTGGATCCTAAAAATAAATTAAAAAAATGACTTTATTTAATTAATTTTATTATTTTTGTCTACATGTGGGTAACTGATAATAAGTATGCATCCGCATGTAGCATCATTATTAAGATGGACACCATTGTTGAGAGCAACAAAATATGGTGCGACCGAAATGGTGCGGGCAATCTTGGAAAAAAGGCCATTTGCAATTGAGGATGAAACTGATGAGAAGAAGAATGTCATGTTGGTGGCGGTAGAAGAGAGACAGTCAACCCTATTGGAGCAGTTCAAGAAGAACCCATCCATCTGGAATCGGAAGCTTCACCATGCATCCGACGTCCATGGCAATACTGCCCTGCACTTGGTCGCGATGCCTTCTCGTCATAGGCTTATGGATATGTCTGTCCTTCACTTGCAATGGGAAATCAGCTGGTTTGAGGTGTGTGAATATGTATATTTCTTTGGTCCTAAATATAAAACCCACTTTATAGTGTAATTTACACTTTAAAATAGGTTTTATATTTAGTACGGGAGGAATATATATGATCACTTAGCTTAATTAATACGAGTAATTTGTAGCTATCATTCAACTGTACATACGTTTGTATTTATGTATGCAGTATGTGAAGGAAATGATGCCGCCGGAGTTCATTAAACGGAAAAATAAGGAAGGCAAAACGCCGGTGATGGTCTTCGAGGAGGAACACCATGATCTGGTGCAAAAAAGTAACCAATGGATGAAGGACATATACGGAAATTACATAGTGGCGGCGACGCTTATGTCCGGCGTTACCTTTGGAACGTGCTACCAGATCCCGGGAGGCTACGACGAAGGCAACGGCAGGCCGATTGTAGGCAACCGTTATGAATTCCAAATATTTGTTATCACGGCACTGGTTTCCTTTGGCTTCTCCGTCATTTCCCTCGCCGCCTTTCTCGCCATTTGCAGCTCTCAAAGTGATCGGCCCGATCCCTACCGAAGACATCTGCCGCGGACTCTGTGCTTGGGTTTATCTTCTCTTCTCTGTGTCTCATTTTGGTGCATGTTGATTTCTTTCTATGCTGCGCAAACCTTTGAACTTGTTGGCCCCATAAAAAAGTTGTCTGTGTATGTCCCCGTGTACGTTGGCTTGGCTTTGATCCCTCTCTACTTTTACGGGGCAACTCAATTTCCACTCCATCGGCGTCTTCTCAAAGCTAGTTTTTCTCGTGTGCCACTCTCCAGAGGTAGAGGAGAAGAACAAGAACAAGAAAGATAAAGACGAAGGGAAGAACAAGGAGAAAAATGAAGACGCAGAGGCATTGGAAGAGAGGTTTAAATAGCTTTTACGCTTTCTTTGCAAAATAAAGAGAATTTTATTATGTGACACAGTAGTATTTGATTATCTACAAATATTTTGTTTTAGGTCAAAATAGAACTTTGCTGATGGTTTTTTTGTGGGGTCTACAAATGTATCCAATTTCACCAACTCAGGTGATAAATCCCAAACTCATTATGTCTCAACCGTCTAGATTAAAAATTTTTAATTAATTATTTTTAAATAAAAATATTTTTTGAAAAAATAATAATTAAAAAATTATTTTTATTTTAGATGGAAACGAAATCAAATATCAACGGCCCAAATCATGTTTGAACAATCCAGATATAATAAGCTTGTATATTCATTATTTTGATGAGCAGCCGAACCCGTTTCCTCATTTCACCACATCAAAGCATGCATGTGGTTCACGTCCTGGTTCTGGAATGAATATTTATCATCGACTCCTTGATTGGTTTTCTGTTGCTATGAAGGATGAGGTTCACATCATGACTACTTTCTTGGAACAAGATGTTAGAATTAAGATGAAGATGATGATCAAAGGGTCCCAAAACAAGAAAAATTTTGAAAAAGAAACAAAAAGAAAATCAAAATCATCCAAAACATGCATGAAACACGAAAAGCAAACGAACAAACGTGTCATTTAATTTTCTCTTTCTCTTTCCTTTTTGAAAGGAATCAGTATCTTTTATTTTTCCTTGAACTGAAGGCAGGAATCATAAGCATTTTTTTTTTTGAAAAAGAAACAGACATATTTTTTTAAAAAAAAAACAGAAAGAGAAGAAGAAAATCAAAATCATCCAAGACATGCATGAAACACGAAAAGCAAACAAACAAACGTGTCATTTAATTTTCTCTTTCTCATCAGGTATCTTTTTATTTTTCCTTGAACAGGCGGAAGCATAAGCATTATTTTTACTTTAAAAAACTTATACTTGAAATATCCCTTAAAATGGGGGGAAAAAAAAAACAAAGTATACATATAGTGATACTCCCTCTAATTTTTAGTATAGGAACTAATTAGGATTTGAATTTGATCATAAATATATAACAGCTCGGTCCATTTAATTTGTTTCTCATATTTATCATTTTTAAACTAATTTAGATATTTTATAAATTGATATATAATCTAATATTACACAGGGATACTTTTGAAAGATTAAATCACATGTATTATATATAATTGATAAACTTACCTAACTTTTTAATCTACTCAAATTTAATGGTAAAGACCAGAAGTAGTGTTATTTACCGTCAAATTGAAACTTGCATGATAAGATGAATTGCAAAGCCCTCTTTTTTCTTTTGGTAAAGCCACACCGATGTGCAGCTTGTTTATGTTGATCTTAAAGCAGACAAGTTGGAATATATGAAAAAGGGGCCCACATTAAGATTTTCAAGGTTATTATAATATATTCTTTCCAACGGATGAGACGAAAGTAATATTCCTCCCATCATGGGGCCATGATATTATACGGCTTTAGCTTGCCTACTTAAATCATCACAAAGCCCCGTCTGGTCTCAGTCATCATTAATTAATTCCTGCTGATCGATCCATCGATCCCTTGCACCCCCACATAAGATAGTCGTAAAATCAGTTTTAGTTTGAATCGGCAGAGTTCCATTTTGTTTTCCCCAAAATGGAAGTGCTCGAATCGTTGGCGATCGACGAAATGGAACTGCGTTCTGCAGTGAAGAATCGAAAATGGGAGCGTGTTGTGGAAATTTACATTAATGATCCAGAGATTCAGAAGAGACCGATCAACACGTGGGGAGACACGGCACTGCATGTGGCCATTGAGACAGAGGACATTACTACTGTCACACGATTGATATGTGTAATCAAATCCCGCCGGCGGGGAGCTGAAGAAGCCCTAGACGTTCTGTCACTGAAAAATGGCACAGGCAATACTCCTCTTCACTGCGCAGCCTCTCGTGGCTCAGACGTCATCTGTGATCGCATCACAAAACTGTTCCACAAATCACTGGTAATGAGAAGAATGATGTCTTTCTTTGTGCAACTTCATTACTTAAAGGGAATTAATCTCAACTGTAATATTAATAAATTGAACCCTGCAGATTGGGGTGCGTAATGTGACAACGGAGAGACTCCTCTCTTCTTGGCTGCTCTTCATGATAACCGAAAGGCCTTCCTCGTTCTCCACCGTGCTGCCGGTGATGATAGCCAACGGTATTGGAGAAGGAACAACGGTGACACTATGCTTCATTGCACTATTAAGAGAGAATACTTCGGACGCACACCAGTGAATTAACTAGCTATCTCTCAAATAAGGGCTACTTGTTACCTAGCTAGCTAATTTTTATTCTTTTGGTGCACTACTTGCAGAATTGTCGTTGATAATAATTCAAAGTTGCCCAGCCATCTCAGTCCTTACCAATGAGAAGGGCGAGTCACCTCTGACAATCCTCGCGTCTACTCCCTCTCCATTCATCAGCGGCATTCATCTTAGCTGGTTGGAGAGACTTTACTTCCGTTGTGAGTACGAGCGCATTATTTCCATATATGTTTAATTATTCAAGTTAGAATAACTAATAAGGTTATTGTGTGTGATCCATCATTATCATCTAACCATAAGAATACATGCATGCATCATCATAAAGTCATTCATGCTGAAGAGCCCAATCCTCCCACTGATGATGATCGTAATCATGGAGAAGAAAGCACTGTCGATGTTGAAGATCCAGAGATGACGATGGATGAGGAGGAACCGACCGACAAAAGTGTTACAGATGATATTCGTACCTTTGAAGCTGTTTTCAGATTCTCTAGTACGCACCCTACTAGCTATTAATTGATTCGAGTTGATCTGCTTGCTATATTGATTAATGAAATGGACACATAATAATAAGAAACATATATGACTGACCAAACAAAGAGTTACTAATGTACATATATTTGTATGCAGAGAACATACGGAGACACCTACTTGGTTTGAAGATCATGAAACTTCTTGTAGCCGGAGAATCTTGGTACGACGCCGTCATTGACCCAGATGTACGTGATATGCTCTCAAAGTCGCCTAAGAAAATCCAAGAGCCACGAACCATTGTACCGCCAGCAGACCGGCGGGAACACAGCGGTAATTAACAAAACTATATATTTTTAATTAATTTAAAACTAGGGGTAAGAAATTTGTCTGAATTTCTTTCTTTTTGAATTTGATGGAGTGAAGGGGCTGAAGAAGTACGGACAGTATTGTTGAGCGCAACTAGAAACGGCGCGACGGAGTTGGCGAGGGAAATCCTGAGACGAAAGCCTTCTGCGATATATGATGAAACCAGTGAGAAGAAGAACATAGTGCTGGTGGCAATAGAGGCGAGGCAATCAGAAATATTGAAGGAATTGATGAAGCACGCAAGTTGGAATGACAAGCGCCTCAGGCATGGAAAGGATGTCAAGGGAAATACTGCGTTACACTTGTCCGCAAAGCGTTCTGTTAATCCCACTATGTACGTGTCTGTCATTCACTTACTGCAGTGGGAAGTGCATTGGTTTCAGGTTAGTTTCATTAATTTGATGAGTTAATTATTATAGAGTGATCTGAAAAAGGCACAGGGCAAGACCAATGAAATCATTGAACGGGACCATTTGGTTAATAACCGATCTAAAAATTCGGTTGTTGATACACAATAGTATGTCATGTGATCCATATAACCAATCCCACCTAATAAAATAAAGCTTGTTATTGCAGAATGATAGGTTTAAGGAGCTCATCCAACATGTTGAAGTATTTTTTGAGAAATTAGTTTAGGATAGTGTTATTGAAGTGGTAGTTGATAGTGCTGGATGAAATTTAAGCCATTATTAAATTGCATCTATGTATCCCATATTAACAATATTCATTCCCAGTATGTGCAGAAACTTATGCCTGCTTACTTCCTGCTTACTTCGTGGAGGAACACCGAGGGATGTTGGGAGAAAGTAACCAGTGGGTGAAGGAAATGTGTGGGAATTACATGGTTGCCGCCACCCTTATTTCCAGTGTTACGTCTGCGTCGTGCTTGCAAATCCCAGGGGGTTATGACGGCCAAAAGGGCACACTAATTGTAGGATCTAGCACCGCTGCATTTCAATTGTTTGCTATAACCGGGCTTGTTTCCTTTTGCTTCTCCATCACTTCTTTGGCTGCCTTTCTTGCCACTTACTCTTCACCAAGTAATCAATACGAGCATTATCGTCGAGCTTTGCCCTTGAAACTTCTTGTTGGCTTTTTCTCCTTGTTTGTCTCCATGTTGATTTCCTTCTGTGCTGGCCACGTCTTTAAGCTTTATCCCAACCACAAGTCTAGGTGGGGTTCCCATTTGGTGCTCATCAGGTGATGAGCACCCAATACTCATCACCTGATGAGCAATCTGGACCGTCCAGATTTAATTTGGACGGTCCAGATTTAATATTATTAAATAATTATTTTAAAATAGAAAAAAATTATATTTTTAAAAAATGATAGTTATAAGATTATCTTTATTTTTTATCTTATACCTATTAAAATAATTATTTTTTAAAAAAATAAAAATAAAAATAAAAATAAATCCGGACCGTCCAGATTAATCTGGACGGTCCAGATGGGTGATGAGCATTGGGTGCTCGTCACCTGATGAGCACCCAATGCAAATCCGTCTAGGTGTATCCCTTTGTACCTTTCTCTCACTTCCATACCTCTTTGCTTTTACACTGCAACGCAAATCCCACTTTTCTGGCAACTTCTCGTAGCTAGCCTTGCAACTGTGCCATTCTCCAGACCATTCTATGTCGACCGGCCAGAAATTGATGTTGAAGAAGTAACAGAAAGAATAGAAGAAAAATTCCGAGCGCCAGTCACCAGAAGAATAATAAGGATGAGGAGACCAACCGTAGACAGAGTCAGCTTTAAAGACCACCGCGAGTTTTCTTGAGAGTACATTTACGAGGGTGATCTTATTTTTCCGGTACATCTAATACCCTAATTTTTTTTTTTATGCATCCAAGATCCAATCTTATTTTTAGTACCAAGATCAAATTTGGTATTAACATGTTTATATACATGTGTGTGTTTAATTATATAAAATTAAAAAATATTTTTTTTTTGCCATCCAAAAAAATGTATGATTATACTTTTTGATTTTGGACATATCTTTGCTTACGGGTTGGTGGGTATATCTAGTTTGAAGTTAGTTCAACTATTTTTTTTTCCATTTAACATTCAATATCTTAAGTTTAGAATGTTTGTAAGTGTATAAGTACTGTTGACACAATACTTGAGAGTATTGAGTGAAACTTAACCGATTATTAAATTGCACACATATATAAATATATTTCTATATATCCCATATTTACATTATTCATTCACAGCACGCATGTGCACGAACTTACGCCTTCTTACTTCATGAATCAACCAAACGATGAGGGCAATAAGATTTGATGGCTGAGCTCCAAGAAGAAACACCGTGGCATGAGCACTGGAATTGATTCCATCATGAATAATTTATGGGTTTCATCATTTTGTTTATTGTATAAGGAAAGCAAGAGGTCTCTTTTATTATTTTCTGTGATGTGAGAGTACTGACTGTGTTTTTTCTGGGTGTCTTTTTGATAATCGCCAATTGGAACGTATTTCTCAGAGTTTTCCTTTTACTTGTTCCTTTCCAATTAATAATAATAATAATAATAATAATAATAATAATAATAATAATAATATCATCATCATCATCATCATCATCATCATCATCATCATTATTATTATTTTGGATTACGCGATCAACTTCAAGGGTATGCGACGCGTATCTGTTTTTAAATTTTGTTTTGTGGTCCTCCTCTTAAACTCGGGAATTAATAAAATCTCAACTTTACCTGTCTTACAAATATTAATGCAAAGAAAAAGGAGAGGTTATGATCTTTATATAAACTAATTGAACTCTACTTTAATGAGCCCAGCAAGGGGGAGCTCGCAGGCTTTGCTCCAGTGTGGTTTGTGCGTGAAAGCCATAGGGGTGGGTTTTCTCCCCGGGAGAGGTTTTATCTGTGAGTAAATTTTTCATATACTACTCTGTTTTTATTTATAAATTATTTATAAAAAAGATTTATTTCTGAATATAAGTCATTTGTAGGCTAATTAATAATTTTTCTAATTTTATCCTTGTTGACTTAATAAATACATAAAGAGAGATAAAATAAATATGTAAAAAAATTATAAAATGTAGTTTTAATACCCTCTCTTTAATAAGGACACAAGTGAAAAAATGATTAATTTAATTTTTTTTTTTATTCAAGTGTTGGAGGCGACAATGAATTAAGAAGCAGAAACATTGTTGATTCAGATCCTCAAAGTGGAAAGGGGTAAAAAGGACAACCGAACTGACCTAGTGACCTACAACCTATCAATGGGTTCTGACGAGTCGCCATGTGAGAGTCGCTAGGAGAGACAAGAATCACTGTGGTCGTCGGTGGATATCGTCGCCGCGGTCATCGGTGCATATCGAGAATTTTCCCCGCGTCGTTAGTAGAGAGTGTCTGCCGCCCTTGCCGGTGGAGAGTCGCCGCCGCCGCCGCCGTCACTGGTGGAGAGTCGCTAATGAGGAGGTCGAAGATGGAGGAAGTGAGAATCTGAGATAGAAAAATGGAGAGAGATGTGGAGGGCAGTAATGAAGATCATGGTACCTAGGCATTTTTAATTTTTTAAAACAACAAATTAATAGAAATAATTGGCTGACACATGGGTTAAACATTATCTGAGTTGCCTCATTCTTATTGGGTAGAGTTTAGATGAGCTGGTACTCTGGAAGTGCCTAATATCTCTCTTTCCGAAGTCATCCCGATTCGTCCCTGGCGTTCGTTTTGGGCGTGTTCAGATTGGAAGTATGCTGGACAGCCTAATCAGCTAGCTTCCCAACCATGAAGCTCTTTTCGGATTCTCCTTTTTAAGGAGTACCATAGGTAACTAATTATTAATTTTAATGCTTAGTTAGATCTTTTTTTGAAACCTGCACTTGCACGCCTCGAAGCATAAATAAGTAATAATTCATTTACCAATATTCCACTCCTTATTATAAGCTGCTTATAGAAGAAATATTTGTAGTTCAAAACATAAGTTCATTTAGGGGGTTATTACTTATTAATAATTATTTTTTCAACCTTACCTTTATTTAATAATTATCATTGGGAAGAAAACAAAGAAAGAAGATTCAGAGTTAAAAATGATTTATACATACAGGAAGAGAATTTTAATAAGAATAAACTCGAAAAAAAATTATCAATTTAAGATATATTCAATTATAATTTAACTATCACCACTTGATATGTGAAAATCAGTTAAAAGGGATTTACATATGGTAAGTAGGGAGGCTTGTTCGGAATCACGATCATAAGTATTTTTAATCACATTTCATGTAAGTCAAAACAAACTTTTCACATATATTCACTTCGTATTTGATAAATCACAATTAAAGACAGTAATTAAAAGCTTAACATGTCTGTTTATGGTTGGCAGAAAAGAAAAGGAGACATGTATTTGGATCGCTGATCATGAAACAACTGGTAGATAATGACGCTTTTTGTGATAGTTTGATGGAGATGGACGTGTTGGGGATGGACGACGATCATCCGGCGAACTTAGCAATGCTGTGTCCTTCATATAAAGGTACTTGGATGTTTAAAATAAATTTTAAAAAATGACTTTCTTTAATTAATTTTATTTTTTTTGTTTACATGTGGGCAACTGATTTATAAGTAAGATATACTCCTCCGGTCCTAATTATAAGACCCAATTGACTTATTTGAGGAGATTAAGGAAGTAAGTTAAGTTGGTTATTTATAATAAATAAGTGTTATCATTCCTAAAATATCCTTACTAATTAAGTATATTGGTTAAAACTATCATCATTAGAAGGATTATCTTGGAAAAAATGCATAAATATAAGAGACAAAATGGATTGGGGTCTTATAATTAGGACCAAATAAAAAGTCAAATGGGGTCTTATAATAAGGACCGGAGGAGTATATATGTATGCATGCGCATGCAGCATCATTATTAGGATGGACACCATTGTTGAGAGCAACAAAATATGGTGCGATCGAAATGGTGTGGGCAATCTTGGAAAAAAAGCC